TTCGACAGTATATCAAAATATGAAGAAAAAAAGCAACTGTACTATAAAAACTCAACACAGTTAAATGCGTTAGAAAGGCTCGAAGGTGAGCTGCCCAATAAAATCCTGCCAATCAAGGTCAAAACAATAAAAATGGAAAACGCTGGCCGGGCGCGGTGGCTCAAGCCTGTAATCCCAGCACTTTGGGAGGCCGAGACGGGCGGATCACGAGGTCAGGAGATCGAGACCATCCTGGCGAACACGGTGAAACCCCGGCTCTACTAAAAATACAAAAAAATTAGCCGGGCGAGGTGGCGGGTGCCTGTAGTCCCAGCTACTCGGGAGGCTGAGGCAGGAGAATGGCGTAAACCCGGGAGGCGGAGCTTGCAGTGAGCTGAGATCCGGCCACTGCACTCCAGCCTGGGAGATAGAGCGAGACTCCGATAGAGCGAGACTGTCTCCCAAAAAAAAAAAAAAAAAAAAAAAAAAAAAAAAAAAAAATGGAAAACGCAGTAAAAATCTGGAAGGACTGTGCATGCACTGATTTACAAGTGTCTAAGTTTTCCTTTAGTCTTAAGAGACAAAAAAAAAACTGTAAATGGCTTCTGGCTTATTCAAAAAAGAACTCCAACTGTTGAACATGATAATCTGCTTACTAAAAATCAACGCCTTTATGTATGTGTATGTTTGAACCAATATTAAAAGGCTACAGGTGTCTGGGTACAGCAATAAAGAATAAAAGTGACCTCAGAGCCTGATTTCTTTTTTTTTTTTTTCTTTTTGAGATAGAGTCTCGTTCTGTCGCCCAGGCTGGAGGGCAGTGGCCCAGTCTCGGCTCACTGCAACCTCTGCCTCCCAGGTTCAAGCTGTTCTCCTGCCTCAGCCTCCCAAGTAGCTGGGACTACAGGCACGTGCCACCACGCCTGGCTAATTTTCGTATTTTTAGTAGAGACGGGGTTTCACCATATTGGCCAGGCTGGTCTTGAACTCCTGACCTTGTGATCTGCCTGCCTCGGCCTCCCAAAGTGCTGGAATTATGGGCATGAGCCACTGCGCCCGGCCCAGAGTCTATTTCTTATACACTGTACGACACTGATGGTGTTAATAATAACCAACAACATTAAGCACTTCCTGCATGCCAGATACCGTCATGCTAGGTACTTTGTAAGTATCAGTTCACTGAATAAAATCATTCAATGTATTCAAGTATATGAAGTAGTATATGAACATAGTAAGTCCATGCTTGAGTAGAAAATCCTGGGACACAATAAAGATGATGAAATGAGTTCAAGGAGGTCAGAACACCTACTCAAGGTAAAAAGTGGCTGAGTTACTTATCCAAGGTTAAAAGCACACCAGAATTGCCAACTCCAGAGCCCTGAGCTTAACCACTGAAGGAGTTCAGGAAATGCCAGCCCAAAGCAAGATGCTTTGGCGGGCTGATTACTTTGAACTGAGGGCACTTGGAGAACAGTAGGCGGGAAGAGGCTTTCCCTGTGCTTTCCTTACCTGCCTAAAGTCTGACCCTCCAAAAATACCTCAATTGTCACGAATCCTTATTAACCAGGGAAGATTCACTCACATCATAGGAACCAGGGAAGATTAACTCGGATCACGAGAGGAGATTAGAGGTTGACACCACCCAGAGGATCACCTATTCTGTCTGCATTAACAAACTTGATTCACCATACATTTCCTCCGTTCACCCTCCCATAACTTGTGTTACAGCTGCTGCTTACCATCCTCCCACCCGCCCCCAACCCTCTATTCATTCCTTTCAGTAGCTCAGGATGCCATGTAAGCTTTAATCATCTGACTTCAACTTCTTAGTCTCGTATTTTGTGGGACTCCTGTACATAATTAAATATCGTTTTTCTCCTATGGACAATGTTTAGTTACCCGAAAAAAATGGGCGATTCTTAAGCACCAACAAAGAATGAAAATCACAAGTGGGTAGTCTGGCAAAGAAAAGTTGATGAGAGATTCTACTGTTAATGTCGTGCTAATATGACTTGAATAATTTCCGTATGCCAGTTCAATGCTTTACATGCACATCCTGTTTACCCTGCAGTAATCTGTTAATTTGTCTTATGGTAATTTAACTCTTAGTCTTAATAAGGTACCTAGAAGGATGGAGGGAAGTCATTTTTGGTTCCCCTACACCACTATTCTATCCGGTCTCTTCACTTCTGAGCACATGTCGGGTATACAAATATATATATACACACACACACACACAATTTGTGTGTATATATGTATACATGTATGTGTATATATATGTGTGTGTATATATATTTTAAAATGGCCCAGTCCTAACTTCTCAACTCCCACAGAACGGTCACTCGCCAGGTAAACAGAAGCCTAATTATCCCCAATTTGCAGGTGAGCACACGGAGACACGAGGACAAGAACCCGATCCAGGACCGGTTACATCGCAGTTGATAAGGCTAGAACACAGACGCCCCCTCACTATATGCGCCGCGACCATCTGGATGCAGAGGCGAACTAAGGACTGGGTGGGAATGCAAGCGAGGCCCTTTGAGGAAGAGGAGGGGGTGCAGGCCAAGCCGGGCAACTTAGGAAGCACAAAGTAGAGGCGCACGCCATCTTGCTAACTCTGGACTCCCGGTCTCGCCCCAGTCGTTTCTGTGGTTTTCGCTAAACGCCCCAGCCGACCGCACCAACCACGCTCCCTGTGCCCCAGTACCAGCTGGTCCGGTTCTCTCGGTATCCCGCTCTCTCCTGGAAAAATGGAGGCGCGAATCCTGCCCAATCGACCGCTCCGAGAGCACATTCACTGCGCACGCTGAAAGGGCGCCAAGCCGACCGCTGCGCTATCGATCGGTCGCACTCTCGCTTGCTTTTCTCGCCATCTTACTTACTGGCACGTTCAAAAGGTTAGTTCATCCCCTCGGACTTTATCTCCAATGCGACAACCTTGATGTCAAGGGGCTGCTGCCTCACCGATAAATGGCCGACCCCGGAGAGTACCCTGGGGCTGGCACTGTCAGGGGTCTGGCTGGCCGTTGGCTCCGCCACTTCCGGGGTCTCAAGGAGCAAGTGCGCCTGCGCGCGGTGTGCGCCTTAAACGACACTCAAGGCGTCGGGTTTGTTGTCAACCAATCACAAGGCAGCCTCGCTCGAGCGCAGGCCAATCGGCTTTCTGGCTAGAGGGTTTAACTCCTATTTAAAAAGAAGAACCTTTGAATTCTAACGGCTGAGCTCTTGGAAGACTCGGGTCTTTGGGTCGCAGGTGGGAGCCGACGGGTGGGTAGACCGTGGGGGATATCTCAGTGGCGACGAGGGCGGCGGGGACAAGGGGCAGCCGGCCGGAGTGGCGGAGCGTCAAGTCCCCTCTCGGTTCCTCCGTCCCTGGGTGTCCTTGGCGCTACCCTGTGCCCGCCCAGTGCCTTTGCATCCGCTCCTGGGCACCGAGGCGCCCTGTAAGACACTGCTTGTTACTTATTACAGCTAGAGGTAGAAGGGGTTTGTTGAGTGGTGTTGACACGCGCGGGAGGGGTGGGTGAGCGTCAGATTGGATTTTGTTCTCGGAGATCACCTGGGTAAGAAAAGCACAGAAGGTCGCTGCTGTGTTGGAGTTCACGTTCTAGTGGGTAGGGAGTCAGACGGTAAGCGTACGGAGAACTTGCAACTGGGGTGGGTGTTATAAAGGAAAAGCAGGAGTGCGGTTTAACGGGGGCCGCTTTAGATAGAATAGCCTAGGAAGGTCGTTGTCCTGGCTGGATGAGTGGGTGAATTGATGAATGAGAACCTCCTTGCAGAGGCCTTCCGGGTCCGTACTTCTCAGACCGTAGACCTTGGAGTAGTTATATCGGGATAACTTGGAGAGCTTGTTAAAAATATAGCTCCACCGAGAGCCTGGAAAATCAGGATCTCTGAGGGATAGGACCCAGGTATCTAGTTTATTAGCAAACTCTCCAGATGATTCTTTGATTTCATTGAGAACTAGGGATGCAGACCGGTGCATGCAAATCGTCTGGGGACGTTAAAATGCAGAATCTGTTTTCTTAGACCTGGGGTTGGGCCTCAGAGTCTCCATTTCTAAGATTCATCCGGCTGAGGTAGACGTAGCCACTGTCGTTAACTCTCGTAATGTCTCTTCCTCTTCCTTAACCTTCCTTGTCCCTTGAATTAAACGTTTTTCAGCAACCTACTCAATTCGTCCTTCCCTTCATCTCTGCAGACATGCACAGGTCTGAAGGAGGAAGGAATAAACCCGTATAAACCTCCTGTGCTATTAGCCTAACAGCTTTTCTATTCAGAGTGGTAGGATTTCCGGTTTGAACTGAATAGATCCTGTGAAAGTCATCTGGTTGCAGATTAGAGTCACCTGAAGGGCAGTCTTATTGGCGTTGTCTCCAGAATTCTGGATTAGAATCTTATTCCATTCTGCTTGTTACTCAATTTCCCTAGAAAGAAAAGTAGAATAAATTGGAGCAAATGCCTGTAGCTTCTGTCAGAAGAATGTTAAATAAATGTTGTTAGGCCTCTGTGATCTCATTAGACTGCTACTTGTAATTATAAGGGAAGTAAAGCATTAGAGCATGTGTGAAAGTAAATGTTTCATTAACACAAGTGGGCATTTCCTTGCTGTTGTTTATTAACTTTAACTTACCCACTGTTTTTTATAAAGGCTCCTGCCTGTAGTCTGGGCCTGGCTTCATCATGGAGTTATTTGCTTAATTGTAAAATGGTAATTTTAATTTTTTTTTGAGACAGGGTCTTACTCTGTTGCCCAGGCTAGAGTGCGGGGACATTTGATAAGAAACTTCAGTGAAGGCCGGGCATGGTGGCTTATGCCTGTAATCCCAGCATTTTGGGAGGCTGAGACGGGTGGATCACCTGAGGTGGGGAGTTCCAGACCAGCCCAACCAACATGGAGAAACCCCGTCTCTACTAAAAATACAAAATTAGCTGGGCGTGGTGGCGCATGCCTGTAATCCCAGCTACTCTGGAGGCTGACGCAGGAGAATCGCTTGAACCCGGGAGGTGGAGGTTGCGTGTGAGCCGAGATTGTGCCACTGCACTCCAGCCTGGGCAACAAGAGCAAAACTCCATCTCAAAAAAAAGAGAAACCTCAGTGAAATGAAAGACTGAACTACACACCTGGGGGAAAAGCCTAATAAAGGGAGCAAGAAGTCCAAATGCCTATGGCAGGGGACTTGTTTGAGGAAAGAAAGAAGCCTTGTGTGGCTGGTGCACAGTCGAGAAGAAGAGATGAAGTCAGAGAGGCAGTTAGGGTCCATGTTCTGTGAGACTTCAATAGGCCTGTCTATGCAGGTGAGGAGTTTGCATTGTTTTGATTGAGTTGGGGAGCCATGGGGGTCTTCTGAACCAAGGACCAACACATCTGACTTGTTAATGAGATTGTTGGCCTCAGTGTTGAGAATGGACCATAACGGGGTACGGTTGGAAGTTGGGAGGCCGTTGCAAAAAATTCAAAGGAGAATTACGGTTTGACCAGGTGGTAGTAGTAGAGGTTGTGAGCAGTGATCTTGAAGGTAGAGCCTACAGAATATGCTCATGGATTAGATGAGGGGTTTAAGGGAGCGAGAACCTCTTAAAGGGTTATTATGGCAAGGCTTTTGGCCTGAGCAACTGGCAGGATGGATTTGCCATCAACTGGGATGAGGATATCTAGAGACTAGATTTGGGGAGGTGAGAGTGCGGAGGGATTAGGACTTCTGTTTGGGACATGTTAAAATGGAGATGCCTCTCAGATAATCAGGTGCGGATGCTGCATAGAAAGTAGAAAATGTAGATGAGGAGTTCAGAGGAGAGGTCTGGGCTGAAGAATGAATATTTGGGAGTCCTCAGCCCGTAGATGGTATTGAAAGCAAAGAGACTGGATGTACTCGGCTAGGGAGTAACTGGAGATGGAGAAGTCGTTCTAGGCCTGAGCTCAGGGCACACCCATGAACAGGGAGGTGAGAAGTGGAGAAGGGAAGCGGTTCGGTTTTGGATATGTTAGGATTGAGGTGCCTGGCAGACATTTCTGGGAGATCCTGGGCAAATCCTTGGATATCCAAGTCTGACAGTCCAAGGTGAGATTAGGGCAGAAGATGCACTTTGAGTGGTCCTCATGAAGGCATTTAGAGCTGAGGCACTGGGTGATATGGATTCCTGTGAAGGTGTAGATGGAGAAGTGGAGGGTCCAGGGACTCATTCTTGAGTCACCCCAGACCCTTGATCGGGCAACAGTGAGACTGACCCAGCAAGGAGGGAAAGATAGGACGACTAGGTGGTAGATAAACCTGGAAGTGAAGTGAAGAAAAAGGTGTAAGATGTGATCAACCTTGTCGGATTCTGCTGAGGATGCAAGTACGAGGAAGGTGGAATTGACCCTTGGGTTTGGCAACAGTAGGTGCCAGCCATGAGCCTGACAATGTGGTGGAGACAAAAAAGCCAGGTGGGGATGGGCTCAGGGGAGGGGAGAGGAGGAGTAGAGGTGGCAAGTGTGGATGGTTCTTCTGGAGCTTTGCTGTTGGAGAGGAGGGGGTCATGGTTAGCAACGATAATAGAATAAAGAGGACTATTTTATTTTACTTTATTTTATTTTTTTGAGACAAAGTCTCGCTCTTGTCCCCCAGGCTGGAGTGCAATGGCATGATCTCGGCTCACTGCAACCTCCGCCTCCTGGGTTCAAGCGATTCTCCTGCCTCAGCCTCCCAAGTAGCTGGGATTACAGGTGCCTGCCACCATGCCCAGCTAATTTTTGTATTTTTAGCAGAGACGGGGTTTCACCATGTTGGCCAGGCTGGTCTCAAACTCCTGACCTCAGGTGATCCGCCCGCCTCGGCCTCCCAAAGTGCTGGGATTACAGGCGTAAGTCACCATGCCTGGCCTAAAGAGGACATTTTTAAGGTAGCAGGTATGCCAGCAGACTGCACAGGGATGGAAGCGATCCGTTAGAAGAGAGATGATGGAGCCGCAAGACCATCAGGAGTGAAGACTCCGTGTGAGAGAGGATGGGATGCAGTGCCCAAGGGGAGGTTGGCCTTGCGGGAAAAGCACATGTCTGTCCCTCCCTCATTAGCTTCATTTGGACAAAAAGTGTAAAATCCTGTGTGTTGTGGAGGCCTTTTGATCAGGGAACTGTAATGTTGCCTATCAAGCAGCAGCACTTTAAGCAGGTGGCTTTGTTCAAATTAAAGGTTCTTCTTTTTCTTTTCAGGCATCATGGACCGATCTAAAGAAAACTGCATTTCAGGGCCTGTTAAGGTAAATTGAATAATCTGTAATCTCATTCACATTTATAAACCCACATGGAGGTTGGTCTTGTTGGGAATTCTTTCCACCTTTACTTTGGGTTATAAATTTAGATCCCTTACTGTGCTCCTGGATATAAATTAGTCACTTTTCTTGTGTTCGGTAACATTTTGCTGATTCTTAGAGTAGCTTTTTTGTTCTGCTTTGTCTTATAATTGGCTGCTTGAGTTTCTATATCCCTCTATTGTATGCAAGATAATAGTAATAATGTATCCAGCAGGAGTCCAAAACTTTTAAAATTGGCCATAAATATAAAATAATTAGAGAAGGCTACCTTGAATTACTGTATTTGATTCTCAGTTCCTATGATAATGGCTATTTAAAAAATTGCTCTACATTTAAAATATTTCTTTATATTTGTCTTTGAATGCCTACTATGTTGTGGACAGTGTACTAATTTCAGGAGTAACTGACTTTGAATTTGGAAATCTTAACACCCTCTCTTTGTAGGGCACTCATACCATTGAGCTGGGGATGGACTTTTAGGCTTTCATTTCTAGCACTTGCCCCTCACTTACAATGAGCTGTTGAAGCTGGAGGAAATCTCATCCCTCCTACCCATTTTAGTTTGATTAGCTCAGGGTGTTAGAGTTAACTTAACTATTTAAGCTTGTAATACAGTACTTACAGGTATATAAATAATACATTTCAAGGCTCACGCCTGTAATCCCAGCCCTTTGGGATTGACCAAGTGGATCACAAGGTCAGGAGTTCAAGACCAGCCTGGCCAAGATGGTGAAACCCCGTCTCTACTGAAAATACCAAAAATTAGCCAGACGTGGTGGTATGTGCCTGTAGTCCCAGCTACTTGGGAGGCTGAGGCAGAGAATTGCTTGAACCTTGGAGGCGGAGGTTGCAGTGAGCTGAGATCATGCCACTGCTCTCCAGCCTGCGTGACAGAGCAAGATTCCATCTCAAAAATAATAACACATTTTAGTAATAACTTTTTGAAGTGCCTACATTTGTTTCCTTTTTGTCACAGTTTTTTGCTCAAGTCTATTTTGTCAATACTTGGAAAATGAAACATTGGTTAATTAGTAGTATAGTAATAAGCTTATTGTGGAAAATCCTGGCCATATGAAAACTTAGACTCTTCCAAAACTTCATGAAGATAACCAATGTTGAACGTTTTGACAGATTTTTTTTTGGTCTTTTTCTTAAATGTATATTATCAAAGAAATTTCAATGGAACTGAGATTTTGTCATAAAGTTTTTGTATCATAGCTTTTTGCCAAATAACAATTTAGTGTCTATTTCCAAATTATTGAGAAATTCTAGGAAGTGTTTGTCTCCTTCATTAATGGATATTTGTTAATAAAGCATGATTTTTAGGGGTGAGGAGTTGGAGGGGGTAGAAAGTATCATTCGGGTATTCTTAGCCACATACTAACTATCCTCTGGAAGTACTGATTAAAATACCTTTTCCCCTTCCATCTCTTATCCGTGACATTCATTATTTTGCTATACTAGAGAACAAACTTTGTGAAATTCTCAAAATATTCATCTTTTGCGTTCATGAATACCAGAAAGTTTGTTTTCTCTTCCATTCTAGCCTGCAGCTCCAGTTGGAGGTCCAAAACGTGTTCTCGTGACTCAGCAATTTCCTTCTCAGAATCCATTACCTGCAAATAGTGGCCAGGCTCAGCGGGTCCTGTGTCCTTCAAATTCTTCCCAGCGTGTTCCTTTGCAAGCACAAAAGCTTGTTTCCAGTCACAAACTGGTTCAGAATCAGAAGCAGAAGCAATTGCAGGCAACCAGTGTACCTCATCCTGTCTCCAGGCCACCGAGTCATACCCCAAAGAGCAAGCAGCCCCTGCCGTCAGCACCTGGTAAACTAGCTTTTGAGACTCATTGGATAGTCATTCTTTGTCGTTGTTGCTAAAAAAGCAAGTGTATATACTTGCAGTTACTGTTTGTAGCCTTAGCTTTTATATCTGTTGAGGATGGGGAGAAAATATGGTGTCTGGGTTGAAGTAACTGTCTGCCCATGGGCCAGATCTGTGCTAAAAATACAGACCTGATTCTCACTCTTTTGGAAGAGTGGGGCACCCAGGGAGGACACAGCACCAATTGGTGCCCTTTTGATTGCTTGTTAGTGGGTCTGGATGTAGGGTGCTTGTAGTAAGTGACTTGAGGGACTGAGATCTAAAGTTTGGGGGAAATCCAGAGAAGTGGATGAACTGAGGCAGGCTGTGGTGAGGTCACCATGGGCATTGCTGGCCATGGTAAGGAATGGGGCCTCATCTCTAGGGCATTTGGAAGCTACTGAAGGTTTTTTGAACTTAGAAGGGAACTTTGCCTTTTAGAAAGTTTACTGTGGAAGGCCGAGCGTGGTGGCTCACACCTGTAATCCCAGCACTTTGGGAGACTGAGGCAGGTGGATCACCTGAGGTCAAGAGTTAGAGACCAATCTGACCAACGTGGAGAAACCCCGTCTCTACTAAAAAAATTAGCTAGGTGTGGTGGCGCACGCCTGTAATCCCAGCTACTCGGGAGGCTGAGGCAGGAGAATCTCTTGAACCCGGGAGGCAGAGGTTGTGGTGAGCTGAAATCGCGCCATTGCACTCCAGCCTGGACAACGGGAGCAAAACTCCATCTCAAAAAAAAAAAAAAGTTGACTGTGGAAGTACTGAATAAATTGGAGTAGAACGCTGGATTTAGGAGTACCAGACAGGAAGGAGGTTGAGGTCAGAGATGGCAATAACCTGCTGTGTGTGGAGCAGAGTAGATGCTGTTATTTACCAACTGTCGAGTGCTCATTCCCTGCAGGCTCTGAGATAAGTGCGTGCTTCATCCGCGTCATCTCATTCAATCCTTGTAACCACTTCATGAAGGTAGCCAGTTATTAACTCAGTTATACAGAGGAGGAAGCTGAGACTCAGAAGCAGTTAACTTATCCAAAGACAAGCCAGGATGGAGAGGTGCACACAGATTTGAGAGCTCATTTATGATGCAGACTCATTAGAACTGGGCAATAAATTGTACCTGAAAAATGAGTAAAGAGGAGTTACGGATGGTGATTAAATTGATATTAACTGAGTTAGTGAACTGGGGGTTGCGGGGTGCACATGTGACAGGGGCACCTGGAGGAAGAGTTTGGACCTGCATCCAAATATCTGAGCAGACCATCATGTGCTGTTCGAGTTTGCAGTGTTGGAGACAGACCGGTGGAAATGTTCCATATGTTCTTGTGGCTAATGAAATAGTTACCTCAGTCCTCTGCTGCACAACTGTTCCTTGTGCATTTTGCCAAATTAGTGGCTTTTATTTTTATATTTCCCCTTGGCAACTAATATAATGGAGGGTGGCTGGCTTATGTTTTGCTACATGTTGGTGATAATTTGTACATAGGGTATAGACTGTTGGCTGGCCCACCTAGTAAGGAGAAAAGGTGATGAGGTGGCAGCTTGTCATGTATGGGAAGATTGGTAATTCTGCCACAAAAGTTCTTCATTTGGAAACTGAGGCTTCAAAAGAACCTTCATAGTCTGCCTTTAATTTATCAGAGAGGGACCCATCTATATATACGTCTGCTCGTCTTTAGAAATTCTGTAAAGACTTCACATGATGGAAGTCAGGGTGTAGTAGTCCTTTTTTTCTATAAGGAAAACTTAAAAAAAAAACCCGGTTTATCATTCTTGACATACCATTAATATTTTGGTGACCAATTCTTTGATTCACCTCTATTCACAGCTTAGCTTATCCTATATCGTTATTCTAAAAACAGGTTTTTAACTTATTCCATATAGAAAATAATCCTGAGGAGGAACTGGCATCAAAACAGAAAAATGAAGAATCAAAAAAGTAAGCTTTCTTATTTACAAAGTTCTGTACTATTCTACTACATTATATCATTTTGTTGCAAATTTAGTTGTGGGAACTCTTGGGGGAAAAAATGAGGCCTTTATTTTCATTTAGAGGATATAAATGTTTCCAGATTTCCAATCTTAAAAAAAAAAAAAAGGAATTTTGTATATTGAGGTATTTATTTTGCTAGGGACTCAAGTGCTTTAAAAAATGGCTTTCAAGGCCTGGTGCAGTGGCTCATGCGTGTAATCCCAGCACTTTGGGAGGCTGAGGTGGGCGGATCATGAGGTCAGGAGATCGAGACCATCCTGGCTAACACGGTGAAACCCCGTCTCTACTAAAAATACAAAAAATTAGCCGGGCCTGCTGGCGGGCGCCTGTAGTCCCAGCTACTCAGGAGGCTGAGGCAGGAGAATGGCGTGAACCCGGGAGGCGGAGCTTGCAGTGAGCTGAGATCGCACCACTGCACTCCAGTCTGGGCGACAGAGGGAGACTCCATCTCAAAATAAAACAAACAACAACAACAAATGCATTTCAAATTTAGAAAAAGTTTGTATGAATTTGTTACAGAAATGTGTGGAAGTTCCTCTCTGTCCTTAGAAGTAACCACGACATATGGTTTATGTGTCTATGCTTTTTTTTTGTATAAAAGTGCAAGTTTTTAAAAAATAGAATATGTTGCAGAACTGTATACTCATATATGACTGAGGGTTTTGGCAGTGTTATAGTTTTAGTTCTTTATTATAAAGGTTGGTTGCAATGTCTTCCCCAGGGCTTTTCTAAAATCCTACTCTTAGTCTCTGAACTGTCTGGATTCTAGAATATACTAGGAGGAGCGAGGAATGAACCCACAGACTTTTGCTTCTAGTGGCCTAACAGAGGCTAAGAGTCTAAATCCACTGGTACTCATGCCCCAGCTAGCCTGTGGGCTCCATCCTGCTTCCATTAGTAACAGTGGCTCAGTGGCTCAGTGGCTCTGTGTCCACCACCGAGTGCTTCTCCACCCAGAGAGAATTGGCACCTCTGGGACTGGAGGGAGCGGCTGTGGTTAGTTTGAAACAGGCCCCCAGATGATCCGGAAGCATTCCTTCCTCTCTGGTCACTTATCCTTTGTATAGTCTTCAGCGTTGTCATGGGCCTGTTCCTCTGAGCATAGTACAGGCTTGGGACATTTCCCAGAGAGTGCTTCAGATCCAAAACCCGAGACTGTTCCTTGTCACTGACTCTTCACACCTAACGGCAGCTAGGGACGTCAGGGTTTCATGTTGCGGCAGCTCTTTGATGGTGGTTGTTGCCTTGGTTCTTGCTGAGGATACATATTGAGTACAAGTTGGAATATAAAATTATTTATAGAATGTGTCTACTACTCATTGAGAATTTGTTAGAAAAGCTTTGTTTTCCTCACATTCTAAAATGTTCAAATTCCTTCCTAGGAGGCAGTGGGCTTTGGAAGACTTTGAAATTGGTCGCCCTCTGGGTAAAGGAAAGTTTGGTAATGTTTATTTGGCAAGAGAAAAACAAAGCAAGTTTATTCTGGCTCTTAAAGTGTTATTTAAAGCTCAGCTGGAGAAAGCCGGAGTGGAGCATCAGCTCAGAAGAGAAGTAGAAATACAGTCCCACCTTCGGTGAGTTTTCAGGTTCATGTTCAAAACAATATTCACCCATGCTGCACCCCTCCCTCTCCTGTAACGTCAGCCTCCCACTGCCCAGGTCCGTGCACTCGCTCTTATGAGGCACTGTCCTCAAACGCATGGCCCCAGTTCCTCACCTCCTGCTCCCTTATGAAAAAGATTAGATAAGCTTCTGTACCACACTGGGTTATAATCGTTCTCCTGTGATTCTCCTGTGCTCTTCATGTTAAAATAAAATTGTATTCCTTTTCTTTTTTTTTTTTTTAAAGTATAAATTTACTTTTTAGAGGGCCTGCTTTTCATAGTACCACAAAAAATGATTAAACTTGTCATCTTTCAAAGAGCACTTAAGTGCTCTGATCCTGAAAAATCACTTGAGGATTTAATGTTTTGTTAATGGAATAGTTTATATGGGCAAGTCTTTTTGGTGGATAATGAAGGGGAACAGCACCCCTTATTCTGAAGTATGCAGGGGTTGTGAGCAGCCACCTGCAGGTTGACTAGGGCTGGTGGGTTTTTGTTTTTCCTTTTTTTCTTTTTCCTTTCAGTGTTTTTCAGATTTGAATCAGATGCTAATACTTCAAGTCTGGCCACATTAGGCCTGGTGTGTCTCTACCTGGCAATACCTGGCTGGGGCTGGGAGGGGCAGGCATCTTACATGGGCTGTGCTTCCCATTGCCTGCTTCCCACTGGCCACAGTCTGCACCTGCCCAGTCTGCTCAGCACCCATCTACTGCCATTACTGATCACTGCTTTTATCTGTCACAGGGTCTGGGTATCAAACTACTGTGGCAATGCCTTTTTTTTTTTTTTTGAGATGAGTCTCGCTCTGTCACCCAGGCTGGAGTGTAGTGGCGTGATCTCAGCTCACTGCAACCTCCGCCTCCCAGGTTAAAGCGATTCTCCTGCCTCAGCCTCCTGAGTAGCTAGGATTACAGGCGTGCACCAACAAGCCCAGCTAATTTTTGTATTTTTAGTAGAGACGGGGTTTCACCATATTGGCCAGGCTGGTCTCAAAGTCCTGACCTCGTGATCCTCCCACTTTGGCCTCCCAAAGTGCTGGGATTACAGGCGTGAGCCACTGTGCCTGGCCATGTGCTTTTTTTAGTATGTAGATAATTAATATTCAGCTGAATTTTCCTCCTAAGAATAAAGGTGCCTAAAGGAAGGAAATAGTCTTAACTAAACCAGAGGTCCATTAATACTTTGAAATGCTTGTAAAATGAAATGTGGGTCTATGTATTTTTCTTGGAGTGGGTTTACAGTTTCAGATTCTCAAGTGGAGTTTGGAGTGTGGTTTCATGTGAAACACCACTGGTTTTACATGAAGAGTTTGTTTGACATTTAGTACATAGTCTTCTGTCAGCTCCAAACCAGGCGTTAGAATGTTTATCCTTTGTTGCAGGCATCCTAATATTCTTAGACTGTATGGTTATTTCCATGATGCTACCAGAGTCTACCTAATTCTGGAATATGCACCACTTGGAACAGTCTATAGAGAACTTCAGAAACTTTCAAAGTTTGATGAGCAGAGAACTGCTACTGTAAGTGTTCATTTATTGTCCAGGCTAATTGTGTTTCCTGTATACCTGTCCTTCATAGCAGTGTACCTTTCATTATAGTAGAGTGGGTGTTGTCTTGACGGAAGGATAGCTTAATATCAAATATTTGAAGTGGAAAAATCAAAAGAGCTTAGTTGTACCATATGTACAGATAAAGTCTAGAACCAGGCAGAATGTTGTGTCTGCTTTTGTGCCTAGTTTGCACAGCTGTTTTCTATGGAAATGTATATAATGTATATCGATAGTCACCCTCATTTTCTTTAATAGATTTTTAATTTTAGAATAGTTTTTACTTTTCTTTCTTTCTTTTTTTTTTTTTTTTTTAAAGGGACAGGGTCTTGTTATGTTGCCCAGGCTGGACTAGAACTCCTGGACTCAAGTGATCCTCCACCTCAGCCTCCCGAGTAGCTGGGACTACAGGTGCACACCACTGTGCCTGGCTAGGATAGTTTTAGATTTACAGAAATTGTGAAGGCAGTACAGAGACTTCCCATAGACCCCACAATGAATTTCCTGCTAATTTTCCCACTAACATCTGCATTAATATGGTACATTTGTCACAGCTGATGAATCAATATTGATGTATAACTGTTAAGTCCACATTTTATTCAGATTTTCTTAGTTTTTATCAAGATTAAATTGGGCTTATGGGTTTTTGAGGGGAGAGCAGAGGTAAAATGCATTCTTATCACATACCAGGGATGTACACTCTTATGCCTTTTAACTGCGGATGTCAGCTTGATCTTCTGCCTGAGAGAGTGTTTGTCTGGTTTCTTCACTGTAAAGTTACTATTTTTCCTCCTTTCCATACTGTATTTCTTCAAAGGAAGTTACTATGAATAGCCCACACTTAAGGGGTAGAGAGTGGATGGAGTATTTCCATAAATTATCTGGAATTCTGTGCCAGAATAAGGCTGTTCTCCCTTATTTATTTCATCATTTATTTATTTAAAGATGTAGACTCCTGGGTATTTATTTTATCCCTTGAGCTATAATCCAGTACTTTATTTTGTGGTTCAGATCACTACAACTTTGGCCACTGGGAGCTTTTTTTCTTTGTTTTGTTTTTCTTTTTGAGACGGAGTCTCGCTCTGTTGCCCAGGTTGGAGTGCAGTGGCACGATCTCTGCTCACTGCAACCTCCGCCTCCTGGGTTCAAGGGATTCTCCTGCCTCAGCCTCCCAAGTAGCTGGGAGTACCGGCACCTACCACCACGCCTGGCTAATTTTTGTATTTTTAGTAGAGACGGGGTTTCACCATATTGGCCAGGCTGGTCTTGAACTCCTGACCTTGTGATCTGCCTGCTTTAGCCTCCCAAAGTGCTGGGATTACAGGTATGAGCCACTGCACCCAGCCTGCTCTTTTTCTTTTACCACGTTCCTGGGAAAATCACTGTAGTTTTGTCTTGCGTGTGTGTGTGTGTGTTTGCACTTTCTTACTTTTTTTTTTTTTTTTTTTTTCCTTTTTTTGAGATGGAATCTCACTCTGTCGCCCAGGCTGGAGTGCAGTAGCGCAGTCCTGGCTCACTGCAGCCTCCGCCTCCTGGGTTCAAGTGATTCTCCTGCCTCAGCCTCCTGAGTAGCTAGGATTAATAGGCATGCACCACCACACCCAGCTAAGTTTTGTATTTTTAGTAGAGATGGGGTTTCGCCATGTTGCCCAGGCTGGTCTCTAACTCCTGACCTCAGGTGATCTGCCTGCCTTTCAGCCTCCCAAAGCGCTAGGATTACAGACGTGAGCCACCACACCTGGCCTTGTACTTCTTTACTTTCTGATACAAGATGCTGAAGCCTCATCTTGTATATTTCCTGCTCCTGTCCTAGAATTGAACCATTTCTCCAAGGAGCCCTGGTTCCTCTTCTTGGAGAATGTTATTATAAACCAAGATCTGGGCACTTGTACTCATTGCTACTGTGGTGTCACTACTTCTAGGCTTTCAGCTGACAGAGCAAGGAAATATTTGTGGATAGTAATCTGTGTATAGATTTATCCATCTCTCTCTTCATTAAGCATACCATGAATTCATACCGACGTCTTCAAGTTGAATCCATTACCATGTTTCATTCTGACTTCCTCCTGTTTACCTGTAAACTCCCACTCCAAAAGTGAGAAACCTGGGTTTCACTGTCCACCAGCCTTTTACTGAATTATTCAATTCCAGTATACATGTATAATGGTATCGGAATTGTTAACCAGCTGCATGGGAACCAACTTGATCAATTAGAGTGCTTATGTGCACTTCCTTTGGCCTTTGTCTTAAAGACTCCACTAGTTTCCAAAGCTGCTTGGATCAACACTTTACCCTCACACCCTTTAGTAAGATGGTTTCCTACATTTGTAATGCAGTGAGATTCTTTTGTCACAATCTGCATGCCCAGGATGGAATCATTTACCTTTTCATATCCTGAGATTGATTTTTGTGTGTTTGCTGTAAAGTTCTATGAATTTTGACAAATACACAATGCCATGTATCCACCATTACGATATACAGAATAGTTTCACTGCTCTTGAAAAATAATCCTGTGTCTCAGCTACTCATCCCTCCCAACCCTTCCATCTCTGGCAACCACTGATCTGTTTACAGTCTTTATTGCCTTTTCCAGAATATCATATAATTGGAATCATAACAGTATGTAGCCTTTTTAGATGGGCTTCTTCCACTTAGCAGTATGCATTGAAGATTCATCTGTATATTTTTGGAGGCATGAGAGCTTGTTCATTTCTTTTTATCATGAAATCATATTCCACTGTTTCAATATATGGAAGTACCTCAGTTTATTCATCTACTGAAGGGTATCTTGGCTGAGTCTGGTTTTTGGCAGTTATGTTTTGGCTATAAACATTTGCATGCAGGTTTTTGTGAAACATAAGTCTTCAAATTAGTTGGGCACATATCTAGGAGTGCTATTGTCAGCTTATACAGTAAGACTTTATTTTGCTTTGTGAGGAACTGTCTTCCAAAGTGATTTCTACATTCTATTTTACATTGCATTACAAATGTAGGAAACCACCTTACTAAAGGGTGTGAGAGTAAAGTGTTGATCCAAGCAGCTTTGGAAATGAGTGGATTCTATAAGACAAAGGCCAAAGGAAGTTCACATAAGCACTCTAATTGATACAGTTGGTTCCCACAGGGCAGCTGGTTAACAATTCTGATACCATTCTACAATGGCAATACGGTATCAGAAGCAATGAATTGAGATCCTATTGCTTCTCATAGTTGCTAACATTTGATGTCAGTGCTTTGGATTTTTGTTTGTTTTGAGACAAGGTTTCACGGTCACTCAGACTGGAGTGCAGTGGCGTGACCACCCACCTCAACCTCCCTGGCACAAGCAATCCTCCCAGCTCAGCCTCCCAAGCAGCTGGGACTACAGGCATGTGCTTCCGTGCCTGGCTGATTTTTGTATTTTTTTGTAGAGACAAGGTTTTGCCTTGTTGCCCAGGTTGGACTTGAAATCCTGGTCTCAAGTAATTCATGCCTCTCAGAATATTGGGATTACAGGAGTGAGCCACTATACCTGGCCTAGTGTTTTGCATTTTAGTCATTCTAATGGGCACGTGGTGGTATCTCATTGTTCTGATTTAGTTTCCTAACAACATTCAATGTTGAACATCTTTTTTTTTTTTTTTTTTTTTGAGATAGAGTCTCGCTTGTCACCAGGCTGGAGTGCAGTGGCACAATTTTGGCTCACTGCAACCTCCGCCTCTTGGGTTCAAGTGATTCTCCCACCTCAACCTCCTGAATAACTGGGACTACAGTCATGCGCCACCATGCCCAGCTAATTTTTGTACTTTTAGGGTTTCACCATGTTGCTCAGGATGGTCTCGATCTCTTGATCTTGTGATCCGCTTGCCTCAGCCTCCCAAAGTGCTGGGATTATAGGCGTGAGCCACCGCGTCCAGCCTCGAACATCTTTTTATGTGTTTATTTGCCATCTGTGTATCGTCTTTGAGGCACCTGTTGGAATCTTTTGCTTTTTTGAGTTTTAAGAGTTATTTGTATATTTTGGATGCAGGTCATCTGTCACACATGTTTTGCAAGTATTTTCTCCCAATGCATGCCTTGTATTTTTGTTCTCTTATCTATGTCTTTCACAAAGCTGTTTTTATTTGACTTTTTTGAGAAAGGGTCTTACTGTGTCACCCAGGCTGGGGTGCAGTGGTGCGATCTCTCTCACTGCAGCCTCTACCTCTTGAGCTCAAGTGATCCTCCCTAGTAGTTGAGACTACAGGTGGGTGCCACCACGCTGAGCTAATTTTTGTATTTTTTGTATAGACATAGTCTCACCATCTTGCCCAGGTTGTTGGTTTTTTTTTCTTTTGAGACAGTCTTTCTCTGTCACCCAGACTGGAGGGCGGTGGCGTGATCTTGGTTCTTAGCTCACTGCAACCTCTACCTCCCGGGTTCAAGCAGTTCTCCTGCCTCAGCCTCCCAAGTAGCTGGGATTACAGGTGTGCGCCACCACGCCCGGCTAATTTTTGTATTTTTAGTAGAGACGGGGTTTCACCGTGTTGGCCAGTTTGGTCTCGAACTCCTGACCTCAGGTGATTTGCCCACCTCGGCCTCCCAGAGTGCTGGGATTGCAGGCGTGAGCCACTGTACCCGGCCTCCCAGGCTGTATTTTTAATAAAAGTTCAAATGTGTCAGTTTTTTCTTTCATGATTGTGCTTTTTGTGCCTCTCCTTTTTTAAGTGATTAGAATTACTTGTTTTAAGAAGTTGAGTCTTAATTTGGGCCGTTTCTTATTGGATTGACAGCTTGATAAAGCATGTTGGATGGTGGTTACTTTGATTTTTTTTCCGTTTCTTGGTGGAGATCTCTGGGTAGCGTGGACATTAGTTTTCTTTGTTTTTGGCATTGATGTACATGGCATTTAAAATCAAGTAATTTTACTTTCAGTATCTGATGAAATCACACTACTATGGACATATGGCCCTTTGGTCTTGTCTCTGCAACAATGACATGCTGTTTTACACTTAAAGACTTAATCTTAAATGTTTGTGCTTCTCCTAAGTAGAAACAGATCTCTAATTTACTTTTTAAATACTAGCTAAACAAATCAGCTTCTTATTTAATTGGCAATTAATATTTCTTTATGAGTTCAGCTTGTGGGCCAGCTTTCTCTTACAGCTCAATAAGGAAATCTGTGCCCATTCATGGTAGTGACTGCCTCAGGTGCTCACATTTTACCCTTGGGTTTTTTCCTTGTCATCTTGCTTACGGTGGGTTGGAGTTGGTTGTTTTGGGTCAGTTAATCTTTTTCTTCAGTTTCTGATATTGATATCCTACTTTAAAAGATTCACCTTATACCAACAGTATAAAATTACACATGATACTACTTCTCTGTTTTCTCTCCTCACACCCAAGGCTTCAATCTAGATGGAGTTTTGGTGTAAGCAGATAGCTATTTGAAAGAAAATGAAAGATTATTTCTGTCTAGATTCCTTTGCAGTTAGAATGAATACGCATGTACCTGTTTTCCTTTTCAGATGAATTCAAATAAAACTAATTGTAGTGACACGTCAGTGACCTATCCATACCTGCAGTCTAACAACATGTGAGGTGTGGAGGGAGTAGCAGTGCCAGAGAGCCGTGGCGAAATGAATAGCTTGTTGTCTGGAAATGACTGGAGGAGTGAAGTCCATTGCCTCTTGAACTTTAATGTGTGCAATTAAAGCATCAGCAACTCAAAGTCGGTGTAGTCAGAAGAGCAGCTTTCTTGTATTTGCCTTCAGTTTATTGTGGTCTGAATTTTGATCTCTGGCTTTGGACTGAAAGAATGAAAAGTGTTTTTTCTGCCAGTGACATTGGTGTTTACTCATCTGTTTAGTAAACCTTTTTGATGTAAAATAATGTTCAATCCTGTCTAGCAATTGCTTTAGAAAGGAAACTCAAACTTTAGGCAGAGCTAAATATATTTTTTCAATATTCAAACAGTTATCTGTATGATAAAATAAATTCTGGGCCAGGCATGGTAGCTCACACTGGTAATCTCAGCACTTGGAGAGGCCAAGATGGGAGGATCACCTGAAGTCAGGAATTAGCAACCAGCCTGGGCAACATGGGGAGACTCTGTCTCTACCAAAAAAAAAAAAAAAGAAACATTAAAAATTAGCTGGGCATGGTGGCACACACCTGTAGTCCCAGCTACTCGGTAGGAGGATTGCTTAAGCCCAGGAGTTCAAGGCTACAGTGAGGTCTGATCATGCCGTAGCAATCCAGGGTGGGTGACAGAGTGAGACCCTGTCTCTTAAAAATAAATAAGTAAATAACATACGTACATACATACTAGATTTGTTGGCTAAATCTTAGAGATAGGGACTGGAAAACTTTTCTTTTTTCTTGCTCTTTTTTGAGATGGAATTTCATTCTTGTTGCCCAGGCTGGAGTGCAATGACGTGATCTTGGCTCACTGCAACCTCTACCTCCCGGGTTCAACCAATTCTCCTGCCTCAGCCTCCCGAGTAGCTGGGATTATAGGCATGCACCACCACACTCGGCTAATTTTTGTATTTTTAGTAGAGACAGGGTTTCACCATGTTGGTCAGGCTGGTCTCGAACTCCTGACTTCAGGTGATCCACCTGCCTTGGCTTCCCAGAGTGCCGGGATTACAGGCGCCCGGCCAGGCAAACTTTTCTTACAAGATAGTAACTTGGCAGGGTGTGGTGGCTCATGTGTGTAATCCTAGCACTTTGTGAGGCTGAGATGGGAGGATCACTTGAGGTCAGGAGTTTGAGACTAGCCTGGTCAACATAGCGAGACCCCGATCTCTATTAAAAAAAAAAAAAAAAAAAAGTGACTTAAGGAAATAAAATTAACAAAAGGACTGATTTCTTATGTACTTCTATGCTGACTTGGTGTAACCCAAAATTTAACATGCTATTTAATATGTCAGTGCAACTGCTTTTTAGTTTGTTTATTGTTCAGGATAATTTCTTTCTCCTGATATTCTTGAAGTAAATTTTTAGCTTTAAACAAATTCTGTCACAGAATGATCTTGGTTTTAAAAAAAGGAATTGACTATACTTGAAAAGTTAATTTTATTTTTCTAAAAAAGAAAAAGGCAGTATTTACACACCTGAATCCTTAATTTGTACCAGTTCTTTGGCACTGCCTTACTTCCTTGCTGCGGGGCCGTTTGTTGCCGTATGGGGGTGTAACTGTTAGGTTGGTGCAGAAGTAACTGTGTTTTGCATTGAAATGGCACCAACCTAAGAGCTAGCTCTAACTAGCTGAATGTCTTCTGTCTTTCAACATCATACCAGCTGTATTAGCAAAGAGATAACTAAACATTGGGTAATTTCACTTCATGCTAACCACTATAAATTGGTTCAGTTGATTTTGTGTGTGTGTGTGTGTGTGTGTAGACTCATGTATAATTTCTACAATGCTTGCTTTAAAACCTGCAAAATGTGTTTTTTGTTTTGTCTTTTCCTTTTTGAGACAGGGTCTCACTCTGTCACCCAGGCTGAAGTGTGATCATGGCTCACTGCAGCTTTGACCTCCTGGGCTCAAGCGATCCTCCCGCCTCAGCTTCCCAAGTAGCTGGGACTACAGGCATGCACCATCATGCTTGGCTAATTTTAAATTTTTTTTTGCAGAGATGGAGTCTTGCTGTGTTTCCCAGGCTGGCTTTGAATTCCTGGGCTCGAGTGATCCTCCCACCTCAGTCCCCCAAAGTGCTGGGATTACAGGTGTGAGCCACTGTGTCTGGCCAAAACCTGCAAACCATGTTAAATCTATGTTGTGTTCCTTTCAGAAGAGATGTCTAATATTAACTTGTGTTATACAAAATCTAAAACACAGGCTTTCAATATTTTTTTTTTTAACAGTATATAACAGAATTGGCAAATGCCCTGTCTTACTGTCATTCGAAGAGAGTTATTCATAGAGACATTAAGCCAGAGAACTTACTTCTTGGATCAGCTGGAGAGCTTAAAATTGCAGATTTTGGGTGGTCAGTACATGCTCCATCTTCCAGGTATGTAACTTTAGAGGTGGAAGTTGTTTGGTTTACCAAAGCCCTGGGAGCTAATCATGAGCCAAATATAAAATATTTTAGTGTAGATTTTGTGCTATAAGAGGGGTAGGTAGCTAACCCAGAAGTACCTTGGAGTCATTTAGGCTTAATAATAAACTAGGGTTTGCAAGAAAATTTTATTCTGTGGTGATTTGGGGCTATTAACAGTGTTCTAGGCCTAGGGTTAAAGATGCTTAATGTCCTTAGAGGCTAATGAGGGGATGAATGAGTCAACAGATAGGACAAGTATATGACAGAGGTGAAGTGCCCATGTGTTGAGGGGGAGGAACTCTTCACCTCTGCTGCTTCCTGGATGAGGAGATGGGGAGATGTTCCAGAGGACAGCACCGACAAAGGTCTAGTGCTCAGACTGCAGGTCATATCAGGGAACTTGAAACACCAAATTAGTTTGGTGGAGCTTTGAGGGCAGTGGTGAGAGATTCTCTTTGGTCTGCCTCTGTCAATAGTAGGGACAGTCCTTTCTTGTCCCCTCTCACAGCTGAAGCAGAGATGTCAATCTCAAAACAATTCAAATCTTAAAGAGCTTTCCACGTGAACTACAATATCTTTACTGTTTTAAATTTGAGTTTAAATAAGCTTTGAAACTTCACGTGAAGTGGGGCATTTTAAAACATACATCTACCGATCAAGGTTTGTCAACTTTGGAGGACTCAAATTATAGCCAGATGACTTAAAAATCAAGCTAGTTAAAAAAAAAAGTATAGCCTAAAATAGATTATATGTGAGGGAGAAATCCTTTGCTTTTGTTACAGAGCACTTCTAACTGTTCCCAGCAATGCATTGAATCTGCTATTGCAGTCTTTTTAAAAAAAATACTGGTTGTCATTAGTGGGAGCTGTTATCTGGTAAGACAAACCAGAATAAAGAATTATAGGCTTCATGGAATTGCAGAGTTAAACTATTTTAACCGGTTGAATTGTGATAGAAAAGATGGCTTCTTGCTTTATGAAAGGATTGCTTACATAACCGATAGTCACTTCACTCCGAATCCCAGATGTTAATCATCATCATTTCCTGGTTATTGCCTCAGTTTGAGAACCCCCGATTCAGTCTGTTGGTGGTGATGGAGGGGTTAGAGGACCAGAGTAGTAGCTTCTTAATCCTACATCACAATTCAGTGGTGACTGTGTGCTCAGTGGGTGCCAGGCCTGGCTGAACACAGCACCAGGGCTGTGACAGCGTAAGCATCTATGGTGAAGAGCAGCTGGTGACAAAGCAATATGAAACCACACGTACGGTTCTGGCTTGGTGTCTGCTGTCCCCAGCTTTTTTCCAACCTTCATTACAAAAACCTAAACCAATAGAAATGCGGAATTGGTAGTTGATGGCCTGTCTATCCAGTGCCTGCGTTCAGCAGTTTTTCCCATGTAGTCAGATTGGCTGCATCTACTTTTTTGGTGAACACTTGAAAATACGTTGCAAACATCATGATGCTTCAACCTTAAGCACTATAATAGCATGCATTTCCTAAATAAGGATATTCTCCTATATACTTAGAACCACGATCACTCCTAAGAAAATTAACAGCATTGTCAATATCTAATATTTAGTCCATGTTCAAATTTCTCCTATTGTCTGTGACATCTTATAGCTGGTTTGTAAAATCAGAACTCAACCAAGGCCCATGCTTTGTATTGGATTTTCTCTGTGGTCTTAAGCCAGACCAGGCTCCCACTTTAAAGAGGACTTTTCTGATTGTGTTGCCACTTCACTTGGACCTTTATTCCCCGTATTTGCTGAAAACTGGAATGGAGGTCTCAGGGCCTGAAGAGATTCAGGTTAAAAAAAATTTTTTTTTGAGATGGAGTCTCGCTGTGTCGCCCAGGCTGGAGTGCAGTGGCGCAATCTTGGCTCACTGCAAGCTCTGCCTCCCGGGTTCACGCCATTCTCCTGCCTCAGCCTCCTAAGTAGCTGGGACTACAGGTGCATGCCACCACGTCCAGCTAATTTTTTGTATTTTTAGTAGATACGGGGTTTCACCGTGTTACCCAGGATGGTCTCTATCTCCTGACCTCGTGATCCCCCCACCTCGGCCTCCCAAAGTGCTGGGATTACAGGCGTGAGCCACGGTGCCCGGACAAGTTAAATATTTTTGGCAAGAGTACTTCATAGGCCACCCTCAAAATTTCAGCATCTCTCATACCAAGGATCTATCACAAGGCAGCATGTATCTACATCTCCACCCTAGTGCTGTTACAATGGGACAGTTTCTAGTGTCTTGTCATTGCGACCAGGCTCTTAAGATTCTTAGCATGTCTGTAATATCCACATGCAGAGGTAGAACTCCAAATCGTATTTGCAGAGAACTCTGCATGGCAACTTTTATATGGTAGTGATACATTCAATTTCTTACATTCTAGATCATTCAGGGCGGTTCTGGAGTTGGACAGATTTGGGGTTAAGCTTGGTGGCTAGCTGTGTGACCTTACACACCTCCCTTCATCTGTTTCCTATGGGAATTTATAATAGTAGCTACTTCCTAGGGCATAGGATCTGGCCCAGGGGAAGTCCTCAGTGTTAGTGGAATCTTCAGTGATTATTAGCAGCTGTTGTGATCATAAAACCAGAAGCACATCAACCTGAGCCTCCCTCTTTTTAGGAGGACCACTCTCTGTGGCACCCTGGACTACCTGCCCCCCGAAATGATTGAAGGTCGGATGCACGATGAGAAGGTGGATCTCTGGAGCCTTGGAGTTCTTTGCTATGAGTTTTTAGTTGGGAAGCCTCCTTTTGAGGCAAACACATACCAAGAGACCTATAAAAGAATATCCCGGGTAAGATGCAACTGAAAAGGACCCAGCACATCTGCTGGAATTCTTTCCTTATCAGCCTGAACTTCAGGCCAAGATCTGAATATCTGTACTATTTGATCTCTCTAACCTGTGTTTTGTGATATTTTATCATTTGTTGTACTCCAGGTTGAATTCACATTCCCTGATTTTGTAACAGAGGGAGCCAGGGACCTCATTTCAAGACTGTTGAAGCATAATCCCAGCCAGAGGCCAATGCTCAGAGAAGTACTTGAACACCCCTGGATCACAGCAAATTCATCAAAACCATCAAATTGCCAAAACAAAGAGTCAACTAGCAAACAGTCTTAGGAATCATGCAGGGGGAGAAATCCTTGAGCCAGGGCTGCTGTATAACCTGTCAGGAACATGCTACTGAAGTTTATTTTACCATTGTCTGCTGCCCTCAATCTAGAACGCTACAAGAAATATTTGTTTTACTGAGCAGGTGTGCCTTAACCTCCCTATTCAGAAAGCTCCACATCAATAAACATGACACTCTGCAGTGAAAGTAGCCACGAGAATTGTGCTACTTATACTGATTCATAATCTGGAGGCAAGGTTCGACTGCAGCCGCCCCGTCAGCCTGTGCCAGGCATGGTGTCCCCACAGGAGGCAAATCCAGAGTCTGGCTGTGGGGAAAGTGACCACTTTGCCTGACCCGATCAGTTAAGGAGCTGTGCAATAACCTTCCAAGTCCCTGAGTGAGTGTGTAACTTATTGGGTTGGCCACGCCTGGTAAAGCTGTTGGAATGAGTATGTGATTCTTTTTAAGTATGAAAATAAAGATATTTGTACAGACGTGTATTTTTTCTCTGGTGGCATTCCCTTAGGAATGCTTTGTGTCTGTCCAGCACCCTGGTAGGCCTGATTGGGTTTCTAGTCCTCCTTAACCACTTATCTCCCATATGAGAGTGTGTAAAATAGGAACATGTGCTCTACCTCCATTTAGAGACTTGCTTGGGATACAGAAGAGGCCGTGTGTCTCAGAGCTGTTAAGGGCTTATTTTTTTAAAACATTGGAGTCATGGCATGTGTGTAAACTTTAAATATGCAAATAAATAAGTATCTATGTCTGCGTGGAGTACTATGTAATTCTTTCCACCATCTGTTCATTGTTGGCCTGGAAATGAGCAGGGGCAGAGAGGAGCAGGTCTCACCCTCTTCTAGTCCTGCCTCTTCTGGTATCTCCTGTTGGGCGTACTCCTAATACTTCGTTATATATAGTGTTTATATATTTGCCGTCTGTCCATCGACTAAAGATACAGTGAAAGTGACCGTGATGAAGGAAAAGTAGAAGTGCTGAACTTAGAGCTAGTAGAGAAATCTGCTTGCACGGCCAATGCTCAGTGCAAGAAACTGGACAGCAGGTGTGTCAGGATATATCGTAACAAAGTGGCCAACATAGAGAAACTTAAAAACACGACTGAGTAAAATTGCAGTTGCCAGCCCTCTTGGGACAAAGCTTCTGGTTCTCACAGTCTTGAGCTGAACTGACTTTGACATTCCCAAATAGTTCTTGTGCCACCCTCCCAAGCTATAGTTACTACCACGTGACTAACTTCCCCAGTGTTACCAGTGAGACTTGGGATGTTTCCGCAGACAATCCCACACAAGCAAAGAAAAAGCTCATTGGAGTAGCACATTAATACACTGGTCACAGTGCCACTTCATCAACAACCATGGCTTACCAGAAGGAATATTAAAAAGTTCATAAAGATGTTTCACAGAATTTAAGCTGCTCAGTTTGTCAGATAAATTAGAGAAACAATGGCTTTCATTTTTAAAATAGATCAGTTTTATTCTGCTAGTTCCATAAAAACAATGTAAACACAAGTGTTCTGTACATCTTGCTGGTGAATTCACATAATGCTTAGTTCCCTGATCCTTTGACCTCCTCGTCTTCAGTCATTTTCTGTTGGGACCACTGGCCACAGGAGTGGAGTGGGGTTGGGGCTTAGGAGACAGCAATGTGGCTTTTTGGTATGACTTGTTTTATTGCTTGCCCTCTCAGCACACTCCTGTTACTCCTAACACAAAGTTTGAGATTTAAGCCCTTAAACCTGTAGGTTTCATCATCAGCTTTTTCATTTTTTTTTGCATAGGCATTACTAGGGACGTAAATGGGAGACTAGTATAGAAAGTGGTGAGGAGCCGAAGCCAACAAATTGCTTTAAACACAAGATGAAAATGCTCTGTTCTGTCCACACAAAGAATCATCTAATACTGGTGTGAGGCATCTCACTTAGCTGTGGAGAAGTCCTTGGAATTAGATCTCAGAAAGACAGTTCTGGCTTTAAGACAGTAAAACCTTTTGGCAATGGGCTAATTGCCTTAAAGGAAAGAAGAGTTCTACTTGAAAGACCTTGCAGGTGGAGAAACTCCTACAAAGATTCTTGGAGATGTTAGTGGAGATAACTGACATGGGTAGGTGTGGGCCAACCAGGAACTGTCAACAGCCTGATCTCAGCAAAACCAGGACAGCCAGTTAATAGTTCCTTCAGTTCTCTGATAGTCACAAATGTAATTGTATTTAGCCTTGTGGAAGTTCTGCAACAAATGTAATTTTAAAGGACTTGAGAGCCAGAAAGATAAATGCAACTCCTTCAACTATGTGACAGGGCAGACTGGTTAATCTGGGTTCCCGGAATGTGGAGCAAGTGCCCTGTATCAGAGAACGGCCCAGGGGGAACGTGCATGATGCCAAACCCCACAGGACAGAATTACTTCAGTCGCCTGCTCCTGACTACTGTAAGGAGGAAGTCTCAGTGTCTCAGTTTGGATCTACGCTTGGATTTCTTTGTTTTGGAGACAGAGTCTCCCTCTGTCGCCCAGGCTGGAGTACAGTGGTGTGATCTTGGCTCACTGCAACCTCTACCTCCTGGGTTCAAGCAATTCTGCCTCAGCCTCCCCAGTAGCTGGGACTACAGGCGTGTGCCACCACGCCCGACTAATTTTTGTATTTATAGTAGAGATGGGGTTTCACCATGTTGGTCAGGCTGGTCTCGAACTCCTGGCCTCAAGTGACCCGCCTGCCTCCACTTCCCAAAGTGCTGGGATTACAGGCGTAAACCACCACCTCTATGCTTGAATTTCTACTCTTAGCTAATCTCTCTAACATACATGCCCTTCATTGGGTAAAGCTGGCTCAGTAGACTAATTACACCTGCCGTGTAATACAAGCCCCTCCCTGGCTTGTATTGTCTCATAGTTGCCTTCCATTTGTGACAAGTGCCACGAGTATTCCTTTTTAGGAAGTGATACAAAATGTTTTTTTTTTTTCTTGAACAGGATTTTTAACTCAATGAGACAGTGTAAACATCATGACAATTCTGGAATGTCTGAAGTTTGAGATAAAGATTGTCTAAGGAAAGCTAAGATTGTCTTAGCTGTTTATGTGTGGTATCCAAATTCCTCTGGAGCATGGGCATCAGGAACCAAGCGATGCCCCTGCTACTGGGCAGAGTTTTCATATTTTACCTAAACAGAGACAAATGGCGCTGACCTACTTTAATGAAATCTCAGAAAAACCATCTGGAATGAGCCCCATCCTGTCCAGATTGGAAGGTGTTTGGGGATCAATGAAACATACCAGAAATACTCTTCTTCCCCCAAAAACAAACGTCATGAATGTCAAAGTATTGATGCTAATTTCGATTGTGATTACGTATTAAGTTTTGCTTCATTAATCGTAGCACTGGCAGCTGTTTTGCAGAACACTGCGTATTAAACTGTAGGCAGCTGACAACAAATATCAGTGGAATCGGGTATTTAAAAGCCAGTTAAATTAATCATTGCTTTTTAGGAAACTGAGCCAAGATTAACCCCCTGGAGCTTTTATAGACAGACCCTCGCCAAAATCTCCCACAAGGAACATTTGTAGGCTATTTTGTTTTGAGATGTTAACCCATCTGTGATGTCTTGCTGACATTTTAGATTATATATACAAGTCCTATCATGAATAGCATTCACAAAATTTATGAGGCAAAAAATTAAAATTGTTCAAAAGCCTGATTTTTGCTGGCAAAGTTTATCCATGAGAACATAGCAATTAGCCCCCTACCTCTCCAAAAGAAACCCTACAACCCTAAAACCAATCCAAATTGTGTAATTTAGAAGAAATAGGTTTTCAGTGTGTACGACTGAAGAGTTCATTAAGGTTTTGCAGCTGGAGGTTTAAAAAATCCCACTTTTCGAAAATATCTCACAATCAAGGGCACAGAGACTAGCGTCATGCTGATTCTCACTGGCGCAAACAGCTTGTGGATTGCATAGGCCACCACAAAGGTACTTGTGCCTGCTGCCATTTTTGACTGTACCAGGGACTCTTTAAATCCGAGTTTCAGCAGGACTGCAGACATGTCCACGCCACTAGGGGGGAAGAAGCAAACAATTGTTACAGCAAAGGATTAAACGAAGAAATTGGTTTGATTATAAGATTTACAGTATTTTTAAAAATGTAATGAAGTAGCTGAATGAATAAAAGTCTTAGTATCCAGGTGCAGTGCTCAGGCCTGTAATCCTAGCACTTTGGGAGGCCGAGATGGGAGGATCACTTGAGCTCAGGAGTTCAAGACCAGTCTGGGCAACATAGCAAGACCCTTGTCTCAACAACAACAACAAAAAAACATAAAATTGGCCTGGCGCGGTGGCTCATGCCTATAATCCCAGCACTTTGGGTGGCCAGGGGGCGTGGATCATGAGATCAAAAGATTGAGATCATCCTGGCCAATATGGTGAAACCCTGGCTCTACTAAAAAAGACAAAAATCAGCTGGGCTTGGTGGCGCACAACTGTAGTTCCAGCTACTTGGGAGGCTGAGGCAGGAGAATCACTTGACCCCGGGAGGCGGAGCTTGCAGTGAGCTAAGATAGATAGCGCCACTGCATTCCAGCCTGGCAACAGAGCGAGACTCCGTCTCAGAAAACAACGACGACAACAAAACCCATAAAATCAGCTGGGTGCAGTGGTGCATGCCTGTAGTCTGAGCTACTATCTTACATGATGGTAAAAAACAAATATTAATTACTGTCAAAAATCTTACCTTGACACAACCATGTAAAATATGCCCAAGGAGATTAATGAGATTCCAATGTGCAGCGACACGCCGACAGTGCCATACTCTTGAAAAATCTTTTTCAGTTGCTGTGACTTGCTTTGCTTTTTCTCCTCTGTGCAACTGATGCTGCTGCCTGTTGTCTCTGTGGCCTGGCTGGGATCCTGTGTACAAATCAGAGAAGAGGAGATGCTTTAGGGCAGGCATGGGCAGTCATTACTGGCTTTTATACACGCATGCAATGTTATACTCTTTCCTGCTGGATGAGAGATCAGTTACCCCTTTCCTTTTTTTTTTTGAGATGGAGTCTCACTCTGTCGTCTAGGTTGGAGTGCAGTGGAGCAACTGTGGCTCACTGCAACCTCCGCCTCCCTGGTTCAAGGGATTCTTTTGCCTCAGCTTCCCAAGTAGCTGGGATTACAGGCGCACACCACCACACCCAGCTAATTTTTTGTAGTTTTAGTAGAGATGGGGTTTCACGGTGTTAGCCAGGTTGGTCTCGATCTCCTGACCTCGTGATCCACCCACCTCAGCCTCCCAAAGTGCTGGGATTACAGGCGTGGATCAGTTACCCCTTTCTTACTCAGTGAGCCGAGTTTGAGCCAACTTAGTCACCAAGTGCAATGCAAGCCTGGAACTAGGGATGGCTGGCAGAATGATGGCTCCAAAGCTGTCACAATCCCAGGATCTGTGAATATGTCACCTTACATGGCAGAGGGACTTTGCAGATATGATTAAGGGTCTTGAGATAGGGAGATGCTCCCGGATTACCTGGGCTACATTATTACCAACGTCATCCCAAGGGTCCTTATAAGAGAAAAGAGGGAGGCAGGAAACTCAGTGTCGGGGAGGGGGCTGTGAGGACAGAAGCAGAGTGAGATCCGAAGATGCACTGCTACTGGCTTATGGAGGCAAGGGCCATGAGCCAAGGAATGCAAGCGGCTTGAAGCCAGAAAAGGCAGCACATGGATTCGAGCCTCCAGAAGGACCCAGCTCTGCTGAGACCTTGACTTTAGTGCA